AGGGGACAGGGAGAAGAAGAGCAGGAGCACGGCGCCCCGGCTGCAGCAGTCTCGGAGTCTGACACCCACTGCAGCTGCCGCTGCCGCCATCCTGCACCCGGCGCGGCTGCACGTGATACTGCAGAAAGAAGAGCGAGAGCCTGAGGGAGGAGGAGCCAGCGCCTGGAACCGGTCCCAGGCAGGTCACCACGTGCACGCTCCCTGCGCGCGTGGGCTGGAGGCGGTGGGGGTTTGGACCCTGTCAGGGCAGGATGTCCCAGCAGGAGGCTGGAAATGGCCACGCATCACTGCACGGTGCATAACCCTGACGCACTCTGGTATATCTGAACTGCAGCCTAGGGAAAGCTTGGCTTGGAGCAGGGCCTCCTGCTTAAGCAGTAGGCAGCACCTTAGCGAACTCCTACCGGGCAGTAATTCCCTGCCGGCCCCTCTTCTTCCCCATTGGCCAGGGAAATTTCCCATCATGTTGCTTCTCCTCCTGCTAGCATTCCCCCTTCTGGTAAAAATATATTCTGGAGGCAAGTCTTGAATCTGTAAAACATTATGTTTGGTCTCAACTCCAGCTGATCTTTCATGTTTAAAATTTTCTAAATCACTTACATTCAATTCTTTCTTAAGACTGGAATGTCCATCAGTGAGAAACTGTTGAAATAAGTCATGATACTACTGTGTGATGGAATACTATGCAGCAAGAAAAAAGAATAACATGGAATCTTGTGATTGTGATATGGAAAAGTCTCCAAAGTAAGAGTTAGTTGAAAAATGGCAAGGTGCAGAACGATGCGTGTAATATGCTACTGTTTGTGTTAAAAATATTTGTGTATAAACTTATATGTACACATAAACATATATATTAGATTTAATATACAGAGGGTATAAAAGAAATTTGTAATGTTCACCTCTGGGGAGTGGGGAACAGGACTAGAGTCTGGAAGGTTGGTTGAGAGATACTTAAAGTACACACACACACACACACACACACACACACACACACACACACAGCAAGTTGCAAAGATAAAGCAGAGATTCCAAGTATCCTTTACCCAGTTTCCCCCAATGGTTATATCTTAACTATAGCATAACTAGAGGCCCAGTGCATGAATTTGTGCATGGGTGGGGTCCAGTGGCTCGCTCCATGGGGGTCCATAGGGCCAGGCTGGTGGAGAGCGGGGGAGGGGAAGTGGGCGGTTGGCCAGCCAGTCCTACCCCCAATTGGGGTGTTGGGGACTGATCTGGCGCAGCGTG